TTCCTTCCTTCCTTCCTTCCTTCCTTCCTTCCTTCCTTCCTTCCTTCTTTCCTTCCTTCCTTCCTTCCTTCCTTTCTCTCTCTCTCTCCCTCTCTCTCTTTTGTTTCTTTGTTTGTTTGCTTTGGTTTTTTTTTTTTTTTTGAGATAAGACCTCTCAGTGTAGCCTTAGCTGTCCTTCATTCTCTTTATAGACCAGCACTGTCTCTAACTCACAGAAATCTGCCTGCCTCCCAAGTGCTAGGATCAAAGACATGTGCCACCACGCTCAGCTGAAACACTCTTTTGAGTTGTTGGTCAGGAGAGTGTAAGAGTTCCCCCAAACAACATAGAACATTGATATTAACCCTGGTTGCCTTTCAGAAGTTGAAGGTAATTCTTTACTGTTGAAGATGCAACATGCTTAACTGACATGAAAGCCCCTCTCTGAGAACTTGCTTTCACAGTAGCAGAAAGTGATGTGCAAACTCTTTAGAGAGAAAAGCAATCATTCGTACTACACAGATGTAATTCCTATGAACCACAGCAATGACCACTATGGCAAGATATCCCTAAAGGTATTAATAGTGTCACTTATCTTGGGGGTAACCAACAATTGTCTAACTGGACTGAATGTTAGCCATGTTGACAGGAGAGAAATTATGCCTAGCATTATACCTACACAACTTCACGTGGTTACTGGGGTCATGGAATTGAGAGGGGAGCCCACTACCTCCACTTTTCTACACCAGTATAATGTTTATCTGCCCTCTAAGTACTTATTCTTATACCCAGGGACAAGAATTGCATCAAATCACCAACTGTTTGCAGCAGAAGGAGACCATTACAAAAAAAAAAAAAAAAAAAAATCACAACAAAATGAAGAAAAGAACCGATCATAGGCTGCCTAGCCTCCACTGATGGCACACACAATATGATTCCTAGTGAGCATTATGAAAGAAGGAGCAGCAAGATTGTAAGAGCCAAAAGACTGGGAGGTCTTGTATGTGATTGAGCCTCCTTGCTATGATAGAGAAGCTACACCCATGAGCTATCTCCAACACAGCTGCCTACACAATATCTGAAACTTTGCAACCAGAGTTGATATCCCAATTCATATAGGGGAAATTTCCCAGGACCTTAACTTTATATAAAGAGATGAAAATGACTAACAATTACTGAGAGCAAGAGTTTGTTTTGCTTGGGGTAAGACCTCTGATTATCTAATCCCAATTAGGAAAGCCCTAAAAACATACACATGCAAGAAACCCTGAAGGGACTCAGCAAGTTGTATATATGTGCTTATTCATATATATATATGTAGTACAGTAGTTAAAGAAAATGAGGCCATGAAATTGAGAGTTTGTGACAGAAGTAGAGAAGTAGACATGTGAGGAGTATCTGGGAGGAGAGAAAGGGAAAATTATGTAATTGTATTTTAATTTTATAAAGTCTGGGCACTAGAAGATAATCATCCAGCCTTCTGTGATCTCAATGGTCTTAGTGAAAACAATTAAAGTGTAAGAGAAATTCTGTGGGGACAATTGGAGTTTAGAGACTAGTGAGAAATGGCTTGATTAAATAAGGAGAAAATCCATATTCAGTAGTTTTGTTTACTCAAAGACAATAAAAGCAGTTTGTTTGGGTTGGGTGAAGTCTGCTGTGGTGGAGGATATCAAAGGCAATAGCAGTTGATTGAAGATAAAAACAGAATCCAAATTCAGCCTTCTGGCACCTAGCACATCTGCTTGCCAAAGAAAATAATTATAAAAATAAAAAAAAACAATAAAATTTAATAATCTTGGTTGTGATTCTAGGGCCAGGAACAGATGTCCCCAGATCAGCCAGTGTTGGCAGTGGAGGAATTGATGAAATAGTTAGGTCCAAGGTGTTTTCTAATGGGCCACTCCTCCATTACACAGTACACTCTTCAATACATGGTCTTCATTACAGTCTAGTTATAGTCGACATGCAGTAAAACATGCAGTAAAATATAAATAACCTATTTTCAAGCAGAAATGAGACTCTTCACTTGCTTTCTAAGAACCCAGCCCCATTCTTCCCCAGTTCATCTGACATCCTTTCTTCTTTTCTTAGTCTTTTTCAGTTGAATTTACATTATGACTATTTTCAGCTTCAATAACTTTTGAATTGGTTTTATCATGGAATCTCCACACATACTTGGTTAAGCTTCTCCTGACTCCGTTCACCTGCCCCTGTGCCACTCAACCACTGAGCACTTTCTTCAGCTCCTGCTTTCACAGCTCAGGTATTACCATTCACAGGTCCTCTTTGCCTTTTCACGATCCTTTTTATTTTCAAGACCCATTGCCCCATCCCATATAAAGATTAAACTCAATTAAAACCACACTTAAAACCAATTTAAGTGTGACCAGTGAGAACAGGAACGTTTACATTGTGGGTTATACTCTAACATATAAAATAATGACATGTTTAAATTTGTTGACTAAGATTTATTATCAAGACAAGCATATACAACATATACTTAAAAACCACAATTCCTTCATACTTGAATTATTCGCTAAGATGCCCACATGCTATTTAAAAGACAGAATTGATGGGAATGCCTCCTGCCTGTGAAACACAGAGACTAGTGTAGTTTCAATTTAACAAGGTGATTATAATGATTCCATGCTGGTTTTCGAGAGGAGACTATTTTGGACAGGCCTACTAATTAAATTTTTTCAGTGAGTAGTGGGTGACTTTTAAGTGGGAAAACTCTTTCATTTGAAATCTATGTTCTGAAAAGTGTCATGCTATTGTTGAACTGTACGGAGGCTGTGTGGACTTCAGGGTAGTGCCTGGCTGACTTCAAACATCTACAGCATTAGTTTAATTAGTTGGTGATCACAGGCATGTGGCCGTAATGATCAGCTCAGTACATTCAATGGCATTCTCTGTAGTAGTCCAGCTTTCTTTTTAAAAATATTAATATCGCAGTAGCATTTTGAGCTTCATTTGGAAAAAAAAAATCAAGCTGAAGTCCAACGATAATTATTTAGTTAATCCTTAAGGACTTTTATTCATCAAATTATATATGAGCATATGTAAATTATATGCATAAAATTAAATTCAATAATATTGAGTACAGATGATTCTTCACCCAACTATAGCATTGGTTCTTACTAAAGAAAAATAACTTCAAAGAGAATATTAACAGCATTATAAGCATTTCTCCCCACAACTGAGATCTTTAAAGCCAGTTAAGACATGACTCAGATATTGGGCATTCTAAATTTTAGTTAAATAACAAACTAAATATAATTTTGAATAATTCAGTTTCTAAAATAACGGTGTTAGGTGAAATAAGGCAGGTGACCAACAGTATGAAAAATGGGGACGGCTCCTTAGGTTTTCTGCATGGCTTCTTGACTAAAAAGCTGTCCTGACATCTGACATCACAGCTACAGCCTCTGACATCACAGTTACAGCCTCTGACATCTCAGCTACAGCCTCTGACATTATAGCTACAGCCTAGCCAGCATTGTGTTTGCCTATACATTAACTAGCTTTTTGACTAGTATTTAGCAAACATCGTACCATAATAACTTGACTTTAAGCAAAAAAGTGTACGGTGAAAATGAACTAGTATAGGGTAATGTTAGTTTTAAATGAAAGCAGGGTTTATCAATTAGTAAAGTTATTTTTCACCAAAACATTTAATATCCTGCTTCAAACATATCATAAAGTATATATCCATAAGGGTGTACTCAAGTTAATATAAATGAGAATGAATATATATTTATGAAAATATGTATAAACAAAGTATTTCTAATTTCTGTACCTTAGTGCCTTACATTTAATACAATTATGAAATTAAAGATTTTTTAAAATTTTCCAGCATGTATGTTTAAAACAAGTAAACATATTTAATTTGAATGCCAAAGGAGTGCAATTTATCTTGCCTTGACAGACAAAATAAAAAGAAAATATACTCATGTGTTTAAAAATATGAAAATATTTTACCATCAATAATATTGCCAAAAGTTGTAATTTAGTTTAATTTATATATTTATTTATTACAATTCATTCACTTTGTATCCCCACTGCAGTCCCCTCCCTTGTCTCCTCCCAGCCCCACCCACCTTCTGACTTCTCCCCCTATGCTCTTTCCCTAGTCCCCTGATATTCTCAAATTTTTAATTCTAAAATACCATCAAGTTTCTGACATTAACACTGAAGAAACTGACCAAGTGAAACTGTCATACTTACCTCAGACCTCCTTCCTCGGTTCAGGTAAGTGCACACCGGGCTGAAAGCTCCGCTCCCACAGACATACAGGTGAGTACGGTTGAAAGTCTGAATAACCCGGACAAAATTGCCACATCCATGCTGGCAAAAGAAAAGGCAGTTAATGAGGTCACATCCTACTCCTATCTACAGAAGCTCTGCTAACCTAATATATGATGTGGGAGATGGAAATTAGGTGACATCTGCTCTTGGCTCTATCCTGGATAACTGTGTACAAATTGTAAATGCAATCTGGAGACACTTATCTAACTGACAGAAATAAGAATTCTAGTTTCCACCATTTGCCTGCAAATTTTGTGATTTCCTTGTTTTTTAATAGCTGAGAAGTATTCCATTGTGTAAATGTACCACAATTTCTGTTTCCATGCCTCCATTGAGAAACATCTGTGTTGATTCCAGATTCTGGCTATTACAAATAAAGCTGCTACGAGCATGGTTGAGCAGATGTCCTTGTATACTTGAGCAACCCTTGGATATCTGCCTAGGAGTGCTATAGCTGGATCTTGAGGAAACGCTATTCCTGATTGTCTGAGAAAGTGTCAGATTGCTTTCCAAAGTGGTTGCACAAGTTTGCATTCTCACCAGCAATGGAGGAGGGTTCAGCTTTCTCCAATCCTCTCCAGCATGTATTGTCACTTTATTTTTTGATCTTAGCCATACTTATCGGTGTAAGGTGAAATCTCAGGGTTGTTTTGATTTGCATCACTCTGATGACTAAGGACATTGAACATTACTTTAAGTGTTTCTTTGCCATTCGCTATTCCTCTATTGAGAATTCTCTGTTTAGCTCTGTACCCCATTTTTAATTGGATTATTTGATTTGTTGCTTTTTAACTTCTTGAGTTCTTTATATATTCTGGATATCAGCCCTCTGTCAGATAAAGGGTTGGTGAAGATCCGTTCCCAGTCTCTAGGCTGTTGCTGTCTTCTGATGAAAGTGTCCTTTGCTTTACGGAAGCTTTTCAGTTTCATGAGGTTCCATTTGATTATTGATCTTCTATCCTGTGCTGTTGGTGTTCTGTTCAGGAAGTTGTTTCCTGTGCCAATGAGTTCAAGGCTCTTCTCCACTTTTACTTCTAACAGGTTTAGTGAGTCTGGTTTTATGTTGAGGTCTTTGATCCACTTGGACTTTAGTTTTGTGCAAGGTGATAAATATAGATACACTTGCATTTTTCTACATGTAGACATTCAGTTAGACCAGCACCATTTGCTGAATGTTGTATCTTAAGATCATCTTGAGTGAGGTAACCCAGAAGCAGAAAGACACACATGGTATAAACTTGTTCACAAGTGGATATTAGCCATATAATATAGAATAAACATACTAAAATCTATACTCCCAAAGAAGATAAACAACAAGGAAGACCCTAGGGAAGATCGTCAATGCTCATTCAGAAGGACAAATGTGATAGACATTGGAAGCAGGAGAAGACAGGGAACAGAACAGGAGCTTACCATACAGGGTTTCTGAGACTCTCCTGATAGAGGTATTGAAGCAATGGCTGAAATTCATAGCCAAACTTTGGGTAGAGGGCATGGAATTTTATGAATAAAGGGGGATATAGAAAGACCTGGAGGGGACAGGAGCTCCAAAAGAAGACCAACAGAACAAAAATAAAATAAAATAAAATAAAATAAAATAAAATAAAATAAAATAAAATAAAATAAAATAAAATAAAATAAAATAAATAAATAAAAAAAACCCTGAGCCCTGGGAGCCCTGCAGAGATTGATACTCCAACAAAGGACCATGCATGGAGAGCACCTAACATTCCCTGTTCAGATGTAGCCTATAGACTCAGTATTCAAGTGGGGTCCCTAGTAAGGGGAACAGGGGCTTTCTCTGGCATGAACTCAGTGACAGGCTCTTTGATTACCTCCCCATTAGGCAATGCAGCCTTGCCAGGCCACAGAGGAAGACAATGCAACTAGTCCTGAAGAGACCTTGATAGGCTAGGGTCAAATAGAAGAGAAGGAGTACCTCCCCTATCAGGAGACTAGGGAAAGGGAATAGAAGAGGGAGGGAGGGTAGGATTGGGAGTAAATGAGGGAGGGGCCATAATCAGGATATAAATTGAATAAATAGTAATAAATGATAATAATAAAAAATAAAGGAATTTTACCATAAAAAAAAGAAATAAGAATTCAAATATTGAGATTTGGCATCCTGAAATACCTGGCTATTCAGAGAGAGATAGAGCACTATTACACAAGAGGTTCCTCAACTGAGATTTGCCAGACGTAAGCAGGTGATTTCAGAGCTCCAGTAGGTTTCACTGAGCAGAACAGAGTCTTCTCTTCTTTCAGAGCTCAGCAGGACAAAGTGTGAATCTTTAGCAACTTTGCTGTTTCTATTTAATTGTTCCTAATTCTAAGACTTCATGTAAAAATGCTCTCAAGTTCGTTCTTCTCAACTTGCTAACAAATCTGACTTAGATGTGCTCATGTGCACATTTTCTTTATTGTTTTTTTAAGTTATTGTTAGGAGACTTCGAAGTTACAATGAGAGAAGCATCTGGTTCATTCCATTCATCTGTCTTGGGACTAAGTAGTCTACCTCATGTATCAGTTAAAATGTTTTTTTTTCTTGTTGAAATACTTCCTGTGTTGTATGAGTATTCTTCATGTGTGTGTAGGCACATGTAGTCGTGTTTTTGCATGCTCAAACATGTGTGTTTGTGTATGGAGACTTGATACTGAGGTCAGGACCCTTCTTCAATCACTCTTCGCCTTATTCAGCAACAGAGCCTTTTAGTTCAATCCAGAATTTATTGATATGGATAAACTGCCTACACAGCTTAATCTGGGAGGTTCATGATCACCATCTGAGAAATGGAGTGGCAGAGGCCTGGGCTGTCAAGTCCATCCAGGATAGCATTTGCTTGCATTCTATAGATCTGAACTCTAGTCCTCATGCTTGCTGCTTATATGCAAGGTACTTTAACTCTTCAGCTCTCACTTAAGCCTATGTGAGAGTACTACATAAACTTTCATGCTCTGCAGCTTTACAAGCTCACTCTTTTTTTAAATTTTTTATTAATTACACTTTATTCATTTTGTATCCCCCCATAAGCCCCTCCCTCCTCCCCTCCCGATCCCACCCTCTCTCCCCTTTCTGCATGCATGTCACTCCCCAAGTCCACTGATAGGGGAGGTTCTCTTTTTCTTTCTGATCTTACTCTTTTATAGGATCAAAGTTCAGAAATTCCGGCATACAGCGTCCAGCCAGCAAGACGGATCAACGGAAAAGGTTTATTGACACCAAGGCTAAAGGCCTGGGTTTTACCCCAGAACCCGGTGTCAAAGAAGAAAAGCACCTCTGAAAACCTGTCCTCAGACCTCCACTCCTGTTTGTGCTTACTCACACAAATATATACACAACAAATCAAGTAAATAAATAGATGCAAAAATGTAATACAGATATACAACTATCTACTCTAGTTTCCTTAAAATATTACACACACACACACACACACACACACACACACACACACACACATATTTGAAGTAAAATTGTGCTCATCCGTATTCCAAATTATCATTTCACTATGGCACTCAAGGCTACCTTTTTCAATTGAGAGAAGAGAATCACCTAGGAATATGTGCATAGCTGTGGCTTTCTATGAAGAATGATGCAATCATTCTCTCTACCCAGGGATAGAGTGCTTTTTTTTTTTTTTTTACAATTTATTTACTTTGTATCCCAGTTGGAGGCCCTCCCTCACATCCTCTCCCCCTCCACCCTGTCTCCTCCCTGTCCCACCTTCCCCCACTTTTCTCCCACTATCCCTCTCCCCTACTCCACTGATAGGTGAGGTCCCCTACTGTCTGACCCTAGCCTATCAGATTCCATCAGGACCTTCTGGATCCTCTTCCTCTATGGGCTGGCTGTTTTGCACCTGGCTCCAGTTTAACTAGATAGGAAAGGGTGTCATTGCTCTACTGCTAAATTAACTGTGATCTTGCAGGAGTCTGTAAGTTCTCTGTGGCCAAATTAATCATCCCAAACTCCACAGCTGATATGCTCATTACTTTTGCTGATTATAAATTAATCAAGTCCAAGACAGAATGATGTCCCCTTCACAAAGTCATTTTTCTCTCAAAGAATTTTATTTAAAGAAGTTTCACCATTTGGAGTATAATTTGTTTAATAAAAGCTATAAAATATATCAAATTTAATAGTAGTTTCTCCCTGGATAGTCTATAATGCACATTTATTTTTCATGGTTTCTGGGTACATTGAATATCTAGTATCTATGTTACTACACGGTATCATAAAGCAAAGTGCTAAAATAGGTGCTAAATTTGATTTAAAATTTTATGTATTTTATATGTTGTCAATTTTTGTTTCATATTCATCTTTCCTTGTCAGCAAGTATGTATTTCTTTTTGGGAATGGGAATTTTGAGCAGCTGTTTCTACTATGAATCATTAATCAATCGTTAATTCTAATGTCAAAGAAATTAATCTTTACAGTCCAGACTATACACTTTATTTAAAAGTTAAGAGACTAATAATCTTTGTTAATTATACAGAGCTATGTCTAGATACCTGCTTTTAGAGGTACCTGGAGATTAATTAAATAGCCAGAGATGATAATAATGATAACAGAATACCCTGAATAACCTGCAAAGCTGAAAGGTGCTCTGTATATAACACGTCTTTATTAAGATTTGTTAGCAAGAGAGCTGTGCGTGTTTTTTCACACTCACGGAATTATATAGCGATTACCTTCCAATAAGACATGGTTCGATTAAAATTTTAAAAGGGAAGGTTGCATCTACTTTATCTAGGGCTCTGTAGACAATTTACATGAATAAATTGTGGCTATAGTGAAAGAAAAAGTCAATAACATATCTTCATATTCAAAATAAAACTCTACTAATTTCACATATATGCCTATGTCTATTTATTATGGACAGCATTTTTGGTTTTTATATGTAATAGAAGATATAAAATAATTATTTTATATATTTTACCATTACTACTTCTCGGGAACTCGGTGTTTATAATGTATTGAACATTCAGTATCTTTCATAATGACTTTAAATTTATTCATTATTTTTTTGCAACTCAGGTCC